CCTGTGGGGCTGCGTCCTCCAGGCCACATCTACTGTAGGTGAGACCAGCTACGTTTCCTACATAACCTCTTTGTTCAGATCCCTGCTTCCGAGATTTAAATCCTTCAGGGCTTTCTGAGGAAGGCAGATTCCTCTTTCCATGTCTTTCCAGCTCTTTGATCCGGGAAATAGGTCAACTTTTATGCACTGATTATGTGAACCATGCATATTTTAATTAGCAAAATTTCATTTTTTTTCTACTGCTAGTTCTGTTTAAAAACAGTTTTAGACAAAGTAGACCTCTGGCATTAAGGCTTCCAACGCCTTGTTAGATGTACAATCTTTGTAAGAGCTTTTATCTCTGAAGCTCTTTCGGAGCCTTAGCCAGTTGAGTTACATTTTGAGTTTCTCAACTGTGGTCATTCAGAAAATATTCATGGGCCGTAGGTGAAAATGTCCTTAAGACACTGATTTGATTTACTGCAGGTCAATATTTTGGTATTCTCATATATTCTCATATGCATTCTATTATCACAATGGTTCTTGTTTACATTGTTATTTGAGAGAGCCGTTCTTTCCACTGGAAACATTTATGATTATTTCTCTTCAATTGTTCTAGCTTTGTTATCATAATGCCATATATTGGCCTCTAAAATGTGTCTAGAAAAGCCTGCAGCTGTTCCCTCCTTGGTTTCTCTCTGTTGAATTATGTTTAAGTCAGTGTATCTGAAAACAGGCAGTAATAGAAGGGATATTATCCTTAGTAAATATCTTAATCGTGATAAATCTCTCTTGCCCTACAAGTGACTGCATGGGGATTAGAGTTGAGTAAGCATTTGCTGAATATCACTGCCACCTTTCCTAGGCCATTTAAATGTGTTTAATTTTTCAGGGTGAAACATGAAGCCCACTAATACAAATGTTTGTATTTGGACTGAATTATATCCAGACTGTAACAGTTAGATCAGGGTTAGGGCCAGATTGTGACTGATCTGTAGGAGGCCAGTTCTGCTTGAGAGAACGAGAGAGAAAAATGCAGATTCATTTCTAGTCACGCTGCTTCAGTTCTTTTCAGTATTTATATAATGCTATTATGGGTTGAAGTACCAGTAAATATATGGATGATGCTTTGCTCTGTATTGTTTTTCACATCAGTCACAGCCCTTAAAATTACCCGATGCCTGGGAGCCATCACTGTCTGGATGTAAGACAACTGGCTTTAGTTCATCCTGGCTAAGATGGAGGTGGCAGAGCTATGAAACAGAAAATACTTCCAGGGGTTTTATGTCCTACGTAACATCACTTTCTGTTTGTTTATGTAGACTTCTGTCAGGTTGCCCAGAAACACAGAGAGAACCTGTTCTCCAATGATCAAACTCATGGGAAATTTTAAGGAGTCTGAAGTAATACTGTGTGCTTCATCTGTATTTGTTCTTTTTTAGTCCTTCCTTTCAAAAAAGTTGCATTTTAATCTGTGACAGCTCAGGGATCTGCGCTCTTGATTAGCCCTGCCTTGGCCATAACTGGGTATTCGTGTCCTTGGTAAGCAGCAGCTCCAGCAGACTTTCTTATGGCAGAATTCAGTGGCTCTGAGGAGGTGACATCTGTTGCAGATGGCGTAGCCCTCCTGCACCACAGTGCAGCATGTCAGCAGCACGTCGCCCTGCGCCAAACCCCAAGGAGTGCATGGTCAGCTTCATTGCCCTGGTTTAGTACTGTGAGTCACTCATCAGACAGTTTCCCCCACCAGCTCTGAATGTAATTTCCCAGAGCTGCTCTGAGAGTAAGAACTGAAAACGTGCTTTATTGTTGATTTTCTCAGCTCCCGGCCTGACTCTCAGCAGAGGTGTGAATGGCGTCTGGGGAAGATACAATGCTCACTGCATCCAATCCCAGTGAAGTTTCCAAATCACAAGCTCTAACTTTGAACAATCAACAGAACTTATTAGGGTTCTAAGGGCCTTAAATGAGACCTCAGGACATGTAGTTAAGCAATCAGTTACACTTGTTAATTGGGAGTGGTAGCTAGTAATAAATCAGAGGAGGAAATTGAGTTACTGCCCTCTAAGAAACAAGAGCTTTGCAGGGGACCCTAGCACTTGTTCTTTAGGCATACTGGGATTTTTCTTTTTCTTAAGTCAATCTACTGTTTCATATCTCAGCCAGTCAGGAGTGTTTTCTCTTTCTGTAGTACTGCTGCAACTATGTATAGCTTGCCCTATTGCACAGTTTAATGCCCTAGTGCTTTTAGCTTGAAACTATTGTTTTTTAAGTTTATTAATATCTGTTATACACTGTTAGGTGTTAACGCTGTGTAACCAAATTTAAAGCTGTGATCCCATTTCCATCCCAGAAGAAACAGAAGTCTTATTTAAAAATCAAACAAACTAGAGGTGAAGATAACCACTCAGTATATTCAGTGTGCCATGCAGGTAATGGTGATAATGACTGCAATACCCACACAGAAAGTATGGGCGGACTGGTTCATTAGAGCAGTGTGAGGTATCCTCTCTCTCTGCATACTTTGATGTTAAAAAGAGCTTCTGTTGCTGCCTCCAGTCTGTTCTGCATGCAGAGCTGGCCGTGGGTTGAGCACTGCAGGTATTGCTGTGTATGTTCTTCTAACAGTCGGATTCTCCCATGAATGAGTTACATCTTAATTCTGCCTTCATCTACAGGGAAGAGAGCTGGATAAGAAGGTGTTTCCCTGCTCCATACATATTTTGGATGTCTGAAAGTTTTCTGGTGGTGGCATGAAAGATAGAATTTTTCAGAGATTTTTATACAGAGCTGGAAGGGAAGAAGGAAGATGAGATACCCAAATAACTGGTGTGTGGGTTTAAGTTTGTCATCTGGTCTGTGAGGGTCTGGGCCACAGCTTCTACTCTCTGGGCGGTTGCTCTGATTGTCAGATAATAGGATATTTTGAAGGGGCTGTTTTTTAGCTTTGAGTTGGAATTTCCATGTTGAGCATAAGGAGTCACTTGGACACTTCTTTTCAACCAGTACGTGTGTGTTTTGGTGTAATGTGTTTTCTTCATGTAGTTTCTTCTGAAAAAACTGATCCTAGAATTAGCAGGGGTTGAACCAGATTGTGTTCCAAGAAGCCTTCCAACCTGAATTCATCTGTGATTCAACTTTCGTGGAGCATTTCTGTCTAGCTCCCATTAGGAATAAATTATTCCTGGGCCAGTAGTTGCAGTACAGTAGAAACTGTTGAATTATGTCACATCTCCCATGATGCAAAAAGACTTAAGTCACATAATCATGGAATTGCAGGGATTGGAAGGGACCTCAAGAGATCATCAAGTCCAACCCCCTGCAAAGCAGGTTCCTTCCCTACAGCGGGTTGCTCAGGACGGTGTCCAGGAGGGTCTTGAATATCTCCATAGAAGGAGACTCCACAACCATTCTGGGCAGCCTGTTCCAGTGCTGTCACTCTGATGGTGAAGAAGTTGTTCCTTGCATTAGTATGGAACTTTCTGTGTTCCAAGTTCTGCCCATTGCCCCTCGTCCTACTGTTGCTCACCACTGAAAAGAGTCCATCCCTATTGACTTTGCTTCCACACTTTAGGTGTGGATGAGACAACGATGAGATCTCCTCTCAGCCTTCTCTTCTCCAGGCTGAACAATCCCGTCTCTCAGCCTTTCCACATATGGGAGATGCCCCAGGCTCTTCATCATCTTTGTCACCTTCTGCTGGACTATTTCTAGGAGATTCCTGTCTTTTTTGAACTGGCAGCCCAGAATTGGACACAGTATTTGGGATGTGCATTAAATTAACCAAATATTAAGTATTAAACTGTAATGAAAATATGTTGTGTTCTCATTTATTATGTTTTATAAATATGGACTTAGCAGAAGTCTTTATCTATCTGTATGTATAGATTTATGATATCACACATAGGGACAACTATCATGTCTGTACTATACACAGGGCCTGGGACAGTTGCTGGCGCTGGCTGATTATGATTTACACGCTTTGGTTGTTAGCATGCTCTGTGGCACGGCTTTGATCTGGAGCAGTCAGCAGCATTAAGATGATGACTGATTATGCTTTGGAGGTTACTGTGGATCAGGGACATAAGTAATGGGAATGACTTCCCATTAAGTCATTCAGATGCAACACCTTGCAGTAGGGAAGAAAGGAGTTCAGCTGTGTGAATGTCAACTGAATTATATCAGTTGGCTTTGAGGCTGGAGAGTAGTCTTTGACCTGTTGTGACTACATTTCTAAAGGTAAATAATGCAGTCAAGTGGAAAGTAAGTCACTCTACTGAGACTGGGGAGGTTGGTATCAGCGGGGTTGATCTGAAGCATGCATATTGGTTTTCTTTCTCTCTATCTTGCATGCTTATAGATGTCTAGCTATTAAGACTCAGCTCTTCAGATTAGTGTTATCTTCTGTGGTGTTTTAGCAGACATGCTTGGGGAGGGCCTGTTCTAGGTTGGGACCTCTAGGGGTTCCCATAATACAGATAATAGTAAAGAGAAGGGAATGATGAGATTTCTTGTGAAATAATTGCTTAGTCGTTATGGCAGATGTAAACTGAGTTCTTTTGTGTGCAGCGGTCTTAGAAAAGCGACAATATATTTTGTGGCTTTGGACTGTCTATTTCAAGGATTTGAGGGGCAGAATATGGAACGAAAATTTGGCACATGAAGGGCTGATGAGAAATGTGTCTAAAGATGTGCCTTCGCCTTCCCCTGCCACAGACTTCTGATATCCCTAGGAGAAATCTCTCAGCTGCCATACTTCATGCACGTGTCCACCTATTCATTGGAATTCACATGGGCTGGGTTGAACAGTGTTCATTAAGTGTTCTGGTAATGCAAGTGATCACTGCTACTCTAGCAAATGCAGTTATAAAGCTGGGCTTCTGGCAGCTGATGTGCAGCTCTGGACAGATGCCCGGTCACTACTGCCTCTGACAAACTCACACCATGGAGAAGTGATGAGGCTCCCTTCATGCTGGATGCTTGCCTCTGTGTAAGCTGAGTAATTGTTTGTTTTCTTCTAGACGAGTACAAGAGTAAAGTAGCCTGTGAAGATGACAAGCTGCGGCTAAGCTGTAAGAAGAGCATGGTGATAGCCATCTACTCTGCTATCTTTGGAAGGACACGGGGAGGCAGCCTGGAGTGCCCGTACCAAAACCTAGGGATGCACACGATTGGTAAGAATGGCTTTATGGAGCACACTATTCTGGGAGTCTGAGCAGGTTTATCTCATTTACTGTCATCTCACAGTGCTGGCAGAGAGCCTGGGTAGGAAAGGCAGAACTGGCACATGCAACCTGTCACTGTTGTGCTCCTGATGTGTGGAGCTTCCTTAGCCAGTGGTGAGCTGCATCATAAGTGCCTAACTGAGGTGCAGGTAGAAGCCATAGCCAAGTTAGGAAGCTGCAGGCTTTTGGCAGATTCATCAGACTTCAGGGTGCTCCTTGAATTCCTTACTCACCTGTTTGCCTTCCTGGTACTCCATACCCTCTATCTATGCCATGGAGATGTATGTTATTGGTAGGTGTCATGGACTGTCTACGGCTAAGTCAAGCCTTGACATTGTATTTAAAATTTCATTCACATTAAAGCAAGGGATAAAAATTCAAAAAGCAAGCTGTTAAATTGAATCACGTTACAGTCAGCTCGGGGTACCTCTGAACAGATTCTTTACTCAGGCTGTCGTAGTTTCTTACATTCATGTGTTGAAGATTCATAAACTTCAGAACATTCACTAAAACTGTCTGTTCCTGAGCCAACGTGAAATGAGTTTGAGCATTTTAGGCTGTGTCAGAGCGTATGTCCTCAGTGCAAAACCAGGTGGCTGGCATTCTTCACCACTTTCTGCAGAACTGAAAGGGGGCTAACCACTTTCTCTGAAGAATTGCCTCTAGAGAGGGAAGGGCTTCAGAAGGGGCTGCAAAAGTAGCTTAAGGGGCTGCTGTGGTCTGTGCTGGTGTCTGTTCAACTGTACCAGGAGATCTTTGGTTTCATGGCTGCTGATCCTGTGCCCTTGAGGAGTTAAATGCTGTTCAAATGGAACCATGCTTGGAAACATGATATGCAGGTGATGGGTGTCAGTAGACGAGTGGTAGAACCAGGCTTGTCAATTAATTTGTGCTGCATGGAGAGTGCCTTCGCTGTGTAACTGGAAAAACCTCAGCACTTGCAGCATGGTGGAGTAGTTCAGGATTTCCTACACAGTCCTATGTTTTGGATGCATGGTAGAAAAGTCCCTGTTCTTTAATCTCCCATCTTTGGAGGAAACACGTGCCTTTGGATGCTCTCCTTTTGTCCCTTAGTTGGAGTAGAAGCTATTAAGTTTGACAGGATGGCCGAAGCAGGCAGACCAGTGCAGTGGTGGTTTGACTGCTGGATGACAACTTGCCAAGTCAGCAAAATTGGATGGGTTTCTAGAGCACACCTGAGCACACTGCTCCTTTTTCCTTCCTGAGAGTGCAGAAAAAGACATGTACTGGTGACAAAGTGCGGATGCTGGGATTTGCTCTTGTATGTCAGTGTGAAGTGAAACTCTTCATTTTGAATCAAAGACACGCAGGGTGAAGTTTTCCTCTTCTCCTTCTAAGTGCAAAGTCCTGAAACTTGGCCAGGCTGAGAGTGGGGTGTATGGCACTAGAAAGTGGGATGGGAGGCAGTGGAGCAAAGCTGTAGTTAAAGGAACAAACTGCAAGGCATGAAGCAGAGCTGCACAGACACCCTACTAAGTGTGGTACTTGCTAAGGAAACAAGGTTTTGTGGGAGGTGACCCAATGGGCCAGAGCTCTAGTTATGCAAGGAAGGGGAAGGTGGCTGTGGTTATGATTCCACTGTTGGCCCCACAGGAGAAGACAGTGTAGGATCCGTCTGTAACCCAAATCAGCAAAAAGCATATTTACACCATGCTTGCCCACGGCATACTGAAGAAGTAACAGGCGTGCATCCATTCACAGTACTGAAGTGAGGGGGCTGTATTCCCAGCTGCCACCAGCAATTCTGGGATCTCTGTGCAAAGTCCCTCAAACTGCTTCAGAACTTGCACTCCTGCCATGAGCTTATCTAGCCCAGAAGGCATCTCTGTTCCTTCAGGAGCTGGTAAAAGCATCATGACAAGATTTCTCTAGCTAGGGAACACTTCTCTGCACATTTCCACAGCCCTGCGATATGGAGAGGGCTGCTCTGTGACAGCCTTTGATCTCAAGCACTGGCAAGGAGCTGATCTCACAAACATGGCTACGAGTCAGACTTTACAGCAGCACCACTTCCCATAAGGCAGAACCCAGCTACGTTCTGCACGCGAAAGATTTGCTCTGTTTCAGTTTCACTGGAATTATGATTTGTGCCATGCCAGAGCCTTGGCAGAGGGCCTTTTGGTGGGATGTAGGTCCTGGAAAAGTCTGCAGCAATTAGTTTATTCAGGTAGTGTGAGTTACCGATGAGTGAAGAACTTGTCGGTGCCCCAGAGGTGGGGAGAGAGATCATCCTCTCCTGATGAAAAGCAGCTCAGAAAATGTTATTCCATCCATTGCTTTTGTGAATAAAACGTACGTTTGGGTTGAATTTAGCAATTTTCATCATCTGCAGATGAGACTTTTAAAACGCTGAGGGATGAGCAGGAGAGTTGTCCTAACAGATCGGGGTACTATTGCCATGAGGTAACAGAATAAATCATTTAATTTGCTCTGCCTTGAAAAAGACCTTGTACTCCTATAGGAGTGCTGAGCAGTAAAGCTTGCTAATGGTGAATTTCTTGGGTTCTACAGAGACACGCAACATTTTGGGTGCTCACTGGGAGGAGTGTGAGGTTTGTCAATGCATTATAGCCCTTGAAAACCTGGACACCCAGCCGTCCTTCTGCTGCTTTTGGGTAGTGTGGAGTCCCCAGTCAGACTCAGCACTCCATTTCCCTGTCAAACATGTGCTGTCTTATGTCTATATGACGGTGCTTAGCATCTGAGAAGAGAAAGTTTTTGTGAAGGACTCCATCCTATCCCTGTCACGTTAAAGAAAAAAACTGCCAGGATCCCCTTTTAACTGGAAACACACTGAAACTTGTGCCTCTGAGCATAATGGGAAATCCCCTGAAAACATTTGGACCTCTCCTTTGAATGCCTTGGGAACTCTGAGGAGCTCCTAAAGGAATTTGACCTTATTTGTAACTCCATTCTTAATAAAGCTTCCACTTTGCTTTGCAGAGACAATATGCAGAGCATAGAGAGGTCTCTGGAGAAAAGGTTATTTGCAAGCAACAAGTCGTTAATATCCTTCAGCACAGGGAACCCTTTGCCCCCTTTATCATGCTGTTTACAGCTGCCTCTGCATCTCTGAGTTTATACAAGAGAAGCTAATTTAAAAAATGGACTTTTCTTACCCAGATCTGAGTGTATAAGGTAAATACCTAATTAAGAGTCTGAGTAGCAAGAACCTGGATGTTAAAAAAAACCACCTTTTCCAGTATTCAGTGGTATGATATCCTTGACCATGTTCAATGCACCTGATACGTTCACATGTACATTTTTATAGTAATAGCCCCTGAACCACAGGGAATGAGATAGATGTGTCTAGCTTACTGCTAATACAAGGACTCAGGTCTCCTCTCAAGAACCCTGTCTCTCTCCATCAGATACAGAATCATAGAATGGCTTGAAAGAAACCTCAGAGATCGTTCAGTTCCAGCTCCCTGCTGTGGGCAGGGTTACCAACCCACTAGATCAGGCACCAGTACGGGTTGCCCAGGGCCCATCCAGCCTGGCCTTGAGCACCTCCAGGGATGGGGCGTCCACAGCATCTCTGGACAGCCTGAAAGATACAAAGCTACCACAGCAATTTCTCTCCTCTTCTGGTAGAAATAATCTGGGCTTGGTTTCCTGAGTTGGCACAGGATTGGAGGAGCAAAGCTCCAAAGCCTCGCTTCAGCTCATGGTATATAACTTAAACTCAGTAGTCTGCTGAGAAGTAGAATGTTTTTATCACTTAATGTATAGATTCTCTCCTGTAATCTCATGTATAGAAAACAGATGTGTTTGCAAAGCCCTGAGGAAATTCAGATGGAAGTGACTCTCTCTAGGTCATTGGATCTGATAAGGAAAGAGCAGAAAAATGAGTTTAGCGAAGAAGCCTGTGCCTTAGGTGCTCATTCCCTGGCATTTTTTTCATATTAATGCAAGAAGATGATTGAACCCTGTTTGTTTTGATTTCTTCCTCTTGAGGCAAATGTATATATGACTGGAACTAGAGCTTTCACGGTTCCTCTTATAAATATTTGTTATACCACATAAATAGTAGGCTCTTTAAGTTTGTCTGTCTGTGATCAGATCTAGCATGTGAATTAGAATGAATTACATGCAATTAAAGAAAATCATTTTAATCTGTGGTATGTTCTGTTCCACCCTATATTTCTGCCAGTGCAAGTCTGTAACTGGGCTCTAAACCTGGTCTTAAGTGAAATGCTTAAAAACAGAAGGTCTCCAAGCTGTGGAGGTGGGGCTATGAGGAGCAGCGACTGCTGGCACTGATGGGCTGGGGGTGGCAGGACAAGATCACAGGATCACAGAATGGCCAGGGTTGGAAGGGACCTCAAGGATCATGAATCTCCAATCCCCCTGTCACATGTAGGGCCACCAACCTAAGATGGCGGAGCTGCTGGAATGCTGCTGCTGATTTTAGTAATTAATAGGTAATGCCATGTAACGGGGTAATCCTTGAGCAGATCTGAGTGCTTGGGGCTGAAGCACTCCTGTGCTTTGGCCTTTCACCATGAATATGGCAGCCTTTAAAATGGCTCAAACATTGACTTCGTGGCATGAGCAGCAAGTACAATGGGTTTGGACTCTGATTTTCATCTTTAAGGTTCCTACCAGGCTTCCAGAATTCTCCTTCCTGTAAGTGTGACTCCCTGCATGTATTTTACATTCACTGTAGAACCTGCTGTACTATATGTATAGCTATTAAGAACAAGTTTATAGAGGCCGATCTGTTCGTACGTAATAAAACCCACAAGTACCCAGGTTTTAAAGCTAAGTAAATACCAGTTGCAGTTTAATTCACATAATACCTTATTAAATCTTAACTGAAATGAAAATCCATTTAGAACGCTAGGCTAAAGTGAAATGAAGGCTGTTTTCAGAAAGTTATTTTTCAGTTCTTAGTTTGTATGTTTCACTTTTTGTTTCGAAGCACC